AAAAAAGCGATGCTTTTTTATATTGTTTTTTGTTGTGTTGGCTGAAGAAACTAATCTAGCCCCCCTCCCCCTAAACTCAATTAGCCCGCCCCCCCAAACTTTTGGCTGGATCCGCCCTCGTAGAATGTATTCTTCGTTTGCACGTGACGTCACAGACCAAGAAAAAAATGACAAAACTGACCCCTTAGTTGCTAATTAGCCCCCCTAAACACTCAATTAGCCCCCCTAAACTCAATTAGCCCCCCTAAACTCAATTAGCCCGCCCCCCTAAACTTTTGGCTGGATCCGCCCTCGTAGAATGTATTCTTCGTTTGCACGTGACGTCACAGACCAAGAAAAAAATGACTTAAAATTTATATTTTGCTACGGCTTCATTCTTTGATATGTTTTAGATAACTATAATGTGACTAAGTTTAAACGATTTCAGATGGTTTTACCGTTTTGTTTCCGAGTTGTGAATGTGTTACATTTTTCATTGTGATTTACGACAATTGCTCTGAAGTGAAATAACCTAAAAGTGTACAAAACCATATATTTCAGTTATGAGGATTATTTGCAAATGAAAAAACAGCAGTTTTTTTCCACAACAGCATTTTTGTATAATAAATTAGTCTTGAATTTAAGTCATCTCATTTGCATATTGATATTTCAAATGTTTACATCTATGAAATAAAAGGACTACATACAAAAATACTGCAACCATACTATTGACATACTAGTAATTTTGAAGAAAAAAATTTTTTTTCTTTGTAGACACACTTTAGGATTGGACTTGTCAAGTGTCATATCAATTATCACCTTTAAATGACAACAATTCAATGTCACGCAAAGACTTCAGAAGAATAAGAGATAATAGTTTTGAAGTTCTTAATTGGTTTATCATAATTGCATAAGTTATTTTGCTATCCAACAAAACAATTATAAACCGTTTGCAATTCCGAATTCCCTTGTCTAGATGCAAGATTTATCTTACAAGTCACTATTGAGTGGCAGAATTTCAAGATGATTCATCATTATCACACTGTTAACTTGCCTTTATCAGCTGTATTAACACCAAATTATTCAAAATTGAAGTTGTTTATAAGTTTCAAGTGGAAAATTTAACAGGTGTCTTCATTGAAATGATAATGAAAGCTAAGCGAATCATTTGAAAATTGGGTAGCAATTTGTTTAGATTATTACTGAGTGAGTGTTGACTAGAAAGCAAAGAAACGTTCTAGTTCGACTCTTGGGCTTTCTCAAATGGTACGCGTCAGTCCAGCCCATAATTTCTAATGGAAAGCGCCCTTACTCTTGTTATAAGGGTGGAGCTTTGTTAAAACAACTTTTGAAAGGTAGGAAAATTGAACAAGTATTAATATGCCACACCAACAAACAAATAGACAAAAACATTTCGTAAGAAATTGGATCGATAAGACGTTTGAAAATTCAAGTTATTGGTCCATGAATGTTAACATGTAACTTAAAGGTTTTGTTTTTCTGATGCATTAACTATTAAAATAAAATAAAATAAATATGGAGATAGTTATTTTATGGATAATTATATGATAAAATATAAAAACGTCGTTTTTAAAAATATGTTATCTTTAATAAGAAATATATTTGGTAAGAATTTTGGTTTCAAAAAAGTCTTTGAAAAAAT